GTTGGTGACGAAACACGTAGGGCGTGGCCTACTGGATGCCGACGTCTGAGATAGTCTCTGCAATCTGAAGGGAGGTGATTCGTTCGTGTACCGCTGCCTACACTAATGCTTGTAATACTGGTGTCGGTGTAGACACCTCACTTGTGAGTTTTATTCGTTCATTAAAAATTCGTTACATGTGTGAAACTTGCAGCACCATGATTTTGTTCTTTTACCTTTTAAACATGGTCCCAATGGTATGGAGGTGTATGAAAGAAAGATGAGCTGTATCCCTGGAAATTTCCTATATCCTTGAATGGTGGCTATTTATCTGAGGAGAGTTCGTTTATTTTGCACAGCTTTGTATTCAGGAACTTGGACTGTTATATATTGCCCCAGAGCAAAAGGTGCTTGTTGTGAGTCCAATTGTTCAGCATTTAGCTCTGGTGAGTGATTCAACATTTTTTGGTGGTGGCTTCAACACAGTATGGACATTATTTGAAAGACTTTTGATTTTGAATATTTAATGATTTATGAATATATATGTTTTTTCACATTATTATTTAGCGCATTCCTTTTATTTATTCATTCACTAGGTCCCCCCGTGTGGAGGGGTCCTGGGATTTTTGCTCACTGTTCTTGTGATCATTTTGACCCCACGGGGTGAGATCTTGCGTGGAGCCCCAGATCGAGGGAGATTATCAGTGGTCTTGTATGTCTTCCATTTTCTAATTATTGCTCCCACAGTTGATTTGTTCACACCAAGCTGCTTGCCTATTGCAGATTCAGTCTTCCCAGCCTGGTGAAGGTCTACAATTTTGTTTCTGGTGTCCTTCGACAGCTCTTTGGTCTTCACCATAGTGGAGTTTGGAGTGTGACTGTTTGAGGTTGTGGACAGGTGTCTTTTATACTGATAACAAGTTCAAACAGGTGCCATTGATACAGGTAATGAGTGCAGGACAGAGGAGCCTCTTAAAGAAGAAGGTACAGGTCTGTAAGAGCCAGAAATCTTGCTTGTTTGTAGGTGACCAAATACTTATTCTCCACCATAATTTGCAAATAAATTCTTTCCAAATCAGCCAATGTGATTGTGTGGATTTTTTTTCTCATTTTATCTCATAGTTGAGGTCTACCTATGATTGCAATTACAGGCCTCTCTCATCTTTTTAAGTGGGAGAACTTGCACAATTGGTGGCTGACTAAATACTTTTTTGCCCCACTGTATATACCAGCAGCTATGCACTATAAATAACTCTCATACTAATCACAAAACAAATGTAAACCTGATCAGTGCTGTGCTAGTGTAACTATAAATAACATACCAATTCAAATGTGAGTGCAGCGCTAAAGCATAACTAGATTGTACGCTCCAAGGAGCAGGACCCTCCTATCCCTCTTGTATTGAACTGTAGTGTTGCTGTATTGTCTCCCATTATATTGTAAAGCGCTGAGCAAACTGTTGGCACTATATAAATCCTGTATGGTGGTAATAATAATAAGTGACAAATGCAATCATAAATGTGAATAGAAGTGTTCTTACAATATTCCAGTGAAATAAATAAAATAAAACGTCTCAAATCACATAGAATCAGAAAATCAGAAAAAAGCCTCTAAAATTCTGAATATAAATAGTGGATAGTCCGTGGCACTGCAGGTCACAGAAGTGCCAAGTGATATACTGTATGTGTGCTTATTTAGCAATAATAGTGATTATACATAGTCTGTGGCACTACAGGTCACAGCAATGTTTGTGGAACTACAAGGTGCAGCAATACCAGCTGTGATGCTCAAGAGTGCTCATGATCCAACATAGGAATCCACCACCGTATATGGATGTGATCTGAGATGTTTTATTTGATTTATTTCACTGGAATATTGTATGAACACTTCATTCACATAAGCACGCTATGATTGTATTTGTCACTTATGCTTTAGTGCTGCAATTACATTTGAATTGATTACTGTGGGTTTGTTACCTTGCCTTTTGTGCTAGCGGCTACCATATTATCTGCACTTGCCTCATATCTTGTGTTATATAAATAACATACCCCAAATCTACCATACAAAGTGACTGTTAATGTATTTGACTATTTCTATAGGACACAAAAATTCATACGCATAAACAAAATCAAACACACTATATGAACAAAAATATATGTGGGCAGCACAGTGGCTAAATGGTTAGCACTTCCGCCTGGCAGCACTAGGGTCGTTGGTTAGAATCCCAGCCACGGCACCACCTGCCTGGAGTTTGCATGTTCTCCCTGTGCCTGCGTGGGTTTCCTCCAGGTACTCTGGTTTCCTCCCACACTCCAAAGACATGCTGGTAGGTTAATTGGATCCTGTTTAAAGTGGCCCTAGTATGTGTATGTATGAATGTAAGTTAGGGACCTTAGATTGTACACCCCTTGAGGGTTAGGGACTGATGTGAATGTACAATTTATATATATAAAGCGCTGCGTAAATTGACGGTGCTATATAAGTACCTGAAATAAATAAATAAATAAAATATGCATGAAGGAGTGTCCATATTATAACAAAAAGTACAGATCAGCATCAGTTCTTCAAGATGTATAGTTGTTTAAATCTATGGTCATCTCCATCTCAATTATATGGGGGTGCAAGGTGATGGATCTAACAGATTTCTGAGAGTTGTCTGTACTTACAGTTCATCTCACAGGAAGCAATAAGGACACTATATTCCTGACCTGATCAGAAGGTATTTTATACGTATATATGCTAAAATGCTTTTAATCCCGAAAACATGATACAGCCTGTCCTGTGCAGAAAGGCTGTCCAAAATAGGAATTTAAAAAAAAAAGTAATGTCTGTTTTCCTGCTTAGGACCTCATAGATACTGCATCAACGCTTGTTCTGTACCAGTCAATTAGCATTAGCAGTTTACAAACATGCAAGCAGGTATGGTTTATCCTCCCCTGCTGTAGGTAGCGCTGTTCAGGTGGCCACTGTGCAGAGGGGAATGGCGGTTGAGAAGAGCTCTGTTCCTCTGAAGCCTCCGTAGGTGTCATCAGGGGAGCAGTAGTCCAATTGGATGCTGTTGCCCTGGCTGATCTTCATGGCCATTTTTAGTGAGGGAACTGCTAATTAATAGTACTGTCCCACTGTGGTTGGCGCACATTTGTGACATAGTCTCAGGACAGGATTCCCACTGGCTAGGGACACTGCAGTAGGGAAAGATTTTGGTCAAGGATGGACAGTACATGGACACTATGCCTGGCTCCGCCATCTGGGAACCCAGGAGAGTTGGGACGAGGACCTGCCTAACTGGCTACTAAAGGTGCTTGCACCCCTCTTCTGCCGGTCAGCCACCCTCTTCATCTGTTGTGGTAACATAGCCTATCAAAGTGCACTCTCAAGTACGTAGTATCAAAGTGCACTCTCAAGTACGTAGTATCAAAGTGCACTCTCAAGTACGTAGTATCAAAGTGCACTCTCAAGCACTCTAAAGTACTAACAGCGCTGTTAAAGTGTTACTAAACCCACAACAGTAAAATCAGTCTTTATATGCAGTAAAACATGCTTGTTATACTCTCTGTGGAACCTAATGGGTTAATCCTCTGCATTGTGTAAAAAAGATATTTGATCCTTTCTTCTCTGCCCCTCATCTTGTTGAAATGTCTACCTGATACAGGCTGAGTCTGTAGTCACATGGTGAGTATTGCTAGAGAGGTTTTTTTTTTTTTGTTCTTGGGAGGGTGCATGTGATCAGCACAGGACCAATCAGCACTGTCCAGACTGAGGGTCAGTGGTTTCACATCCTTCTAGAACAGAAAGAAAACTCCTCCTACAAGCTTTAACCAGTGCTCTGCTGAAGTGACAAGACTGCTCTCTAACTGCTGATGAGAAAAGGTATTTAGCAGTTGATAATTACTAACACAACTGCATTTCCATGTCGTATGTACTGTGGGAGACCAGATAGTGTGAATGCAGGGTCCTGGGTTTAGTATCACTTTAAGAAATGTTATACCTGGGTTGCCTGTAATATTGAAGCTCTGTTGCCATAGTGTTTGGAGCTGTAGGCAAGCTCCTTGCCACTGTCTCCCATTTTACCAAATAATAATTGTGCTTTACAAAAAAATTAATTGTGCCACCTTCCCTGCTGTCTGTGTACTTTTGGTCCATCTTGTGTACCAATCAACTGTCTCCACCTACAAACTAGTATGTTGAAATTAAATCCCAACTCCAAGAAACTTACAAATGATTCCTTGCAGTAGACTTAAAGATTTAATTACCCGTTTAGGTCTAGGGGACATAGAAAAGAAGGTCTACTTACTGTATGCTCTGCACTGCTAAACCCGAGCGTCTTTTCTCCCATACTCTTGTATTGTTACTGTGCTGTCTCGTGTACTGTCTCCCATTGTAATGTACAGCGCTGAGCAAACCGTTGGCGCTATATAAATACTGTATAACAATAATAATACTCAAGCAGTCTAAGGGCCTGACATCATCAAGTCAAATGCAGAGTCCAGAGCCCTACACTGGACGTGATGACACCAAGGGACAGTTCACCATCGGAGTGTGGGAGAGCATCATCTGCTGGGGAAGCTGAGGATCAGGTAAGGTAAAGTGCTTTTATTCACCCCTAGACTAAACAAGCAGTAAATCCTTGCAGGACAGGTGCAGCCCCTCTGCAAGGGAGGATTTTACATTTCCTGGAGCTGGGCTTTAAATAATGACGTTCATGTAGAACTGCTAAAAGCTTGTCACGGTAATAAAACATTTACTTTAGATTCTGTCACCAGACCAGATCAACAAGTTTGCTAGAATAGTTCAGGGCTGTGCAACCTGCAATAGAATATGGGATCCCATATTCATTTCTAGGGTCCCTAGACTATGGACATACCGTATTTTTCACTCCATATGATGCACTTTTTTCATCCCAAAAAATGGGGTAAAATTTCTGTGCATCTTATGGAGTGAATATGGAGTGGCCAGCCACCGTGTTAGAATACCGAGCTGGCAGCTCGGCTCTTCTGTGTAGAAGAACATACTGCTCGGTCCTACCTGTTCCTCGGTCCAGCAGTGTCCTCACCGTCTTCTCTCCCTGGTGCTGGCATCTTTAGTGTAGGCACCCGGCTGTGGCAGCTTGCGGCTTCACAGCCGGGTGCCCACTGCGCATGCACAAGAAGTGCTGCGCTTTGTGAATGGTCCGGCAGTCTTCTGGGACCTGTCATGTGTCCCAGAAGACGGGGAGGGAGGACAACTCTGCGGAAGTGGGAGCGGGTACCTGTCAAATTTGGGTACCCCCTCTTCTGCTCCCCCAAGGTTTGCAGTCTCTGGTCATTTCCCGTACTATGTTCGCAGTCTCTGGTCATCTCCCGTACTATGTCTGCAGTCTCTGGTCATCTCCCGTATTATGTCCGCAGTCTCTGGTCATCTCCCGTACTATGTCCGCAGTCTCTGGTCATCTCCCGTACTATGTCCGCAGTCTCTGGTCATCTCCCGTATTATGTCCGCAGTCTCTGGTCATCTCCCGTACTATGTCCGCAGTCTCTGGTCATCTCCCGTACTATGTCCGCAGTCTCTGGTCATCTCCCGTACTATGTCCGCAGTCTCTGGTCATCTCCCGTATTATGTCCGCAGTCTCTGGTTATATCTCCTGCAGTATGTCCACATTCTCTGGTCATCTCCTGTACTATGTCCGCGCAGTCTCTGGTCATCCCCTGTACTATGTCCACAGTCTCTGGTCATCTCCTGTACTATGTCCGCAGTCTCTGGTCATCCCTTTGTACTATGTCCACACAGTCTCTGGTCATCTCCTGTACTATGTCCGCAGTCTCTGGTCATCTCCTGTACTATGTCCGCAGTCTCTGGTCATCTCCCGTACTATGTCTGCAGTCTCTGGTTATCTCCCGTACTATGTCTGCAGTCTCTGGTCATCTCCTGTACTACAGTATGTCTGCAGTCTCTGATCATCTCCTGTACTATGTCTGCAGTCTCTGGTCATCTCCTGTACTATCTCCCGTACTATGTCCGCAGTCTCTGGTCATCTCCCGTACTATGTCCGCAGTCTCTGGTCATCTCCCGTATTATGTCCGCAGTCTCTGGTTATCTCCTGCAGTATGTCCACATTCTCTGGTCATCTCCTGTACTATGTCCGCAGTCTCTGGTCATCCCCTGTACTATGTCCACAGTCTCTGGTCATCTCCTGTACTATGTCCGCAGTCTCTGGTCATCTCCTGTACTATGTCCGCAGTCTCTGGTCATCTCCTGTACTATGTCCGCAGTCTCTGGTTATCTCCCGTACTATGTCTGCAGTCTCTGGTCATCTCCTGTACTACAGTATGTCTGCAGTGTCTGATCATCTCCTGTACTATGTCTGCAGTCTCTGGTCATCTCCTGTACTATGTCCGCAGTCTCTGGTCATCTCCTGTACTATGTCTGCAGTCTCTGATCATCTCCTGTACTATGTCTGCAGTCTCTGATCATCTCCTGTACTATGTCTGCAGTCTCTGGTTATCTCCTGTACTATGTCCGCTGTCTCTGGTCATCTGTACAACATCTGTATCAATGTCTGCAGTCTCTGGTCATCTCCTGTACTATGCAGTCTCTGGTCATCTCCTGTACTATGTCCGCAGTCTCTGGTCATCTCCTGTACTGTGTCCGCAGTCTCTGGTCATCTCCTGTACTATGCCTGCAGTCTCTGGTCATTTCCTGTACTGTGTGTCCGCAGTCTCTGGTCATCCCCTTTACTATGTCCACAGTCTCTGGTCATCTCCTGTACTGTCTGCAGTCTCTGATCATCTCCTGTACTATGTCCACAGTCTCTGGTCATTTCCTGTACTATGTCTGCAGTCTATTGGTTCAGAATAGTTTTTTTTCTTGTTTTCCTCCTCTAAAAACCTAGGTGCATCTTATGGTCAGGTCTTTTGGAGCGAAAAATACGGTACTTATTCATTCTTTTGAGCTGTAATGAAGAAAAAAAAAAGCAATTGTTAAAAGATCTAATCATTCCTGATTATATTTAGGCTGATGTAGAATGGAAAGGGTAAGTTCTCTATAGAACAATAGGTGCAGTGTCTGCTTCATCATCAGAGAACAATGAATATAAACTCAATGTAATGTAATATTGCCCATCAATTTTCTAATCCACTGCATTGTTGTCCCTGTGGTCAGTCTTTTGTAAATGGTCAATTTGTCATACAATTGTGTCAGAATCATTTATGTGTATGACAGCACATGCCCCTGCATGGGTACTTTCATCCATGCAAATTGTCACTAAAGAAGTTAGCAGTAGTAGTTACAGTCAGGTCCATAAATATTGGGACATCGACACAATTCTAACATTTTTGGCTCTATACACCACCACAATGGATTTTGAAATGAAACAAACAAGATGTGCTTTTAATGCAGACTGTCAGCTTTAATTTGAGGGTATTTACATTCAAATCATGGTCAACGGTGTAGGAATTACAACAGTTTGCATATGTGCCTCCACTTATTAAGGAACCAAAAGTAATGGGACAGAATAATAATCATAAATCAAACTTTCACTTTGTAATACTTGGTTGCAAATCCTTTGCAGTCAATTACAGCCTGAAGTGTGGAACGCATGACATCACCAGACGTCTCTGGGTTTCATTCCTGGTGATGCTCTCTCCAGGCCTCTACTGCAACTGTCTTCAGTTCCTGCTTGTTCTTGGGGCATTTTTCCCTTCAGTTTTGTCTTCAGCAAGTCTGCATGCTCAATCGGATTCAGGTCAGGTGATTGACTTGGCCATGCATAACATTCCACTTCTTTCCCTTAAAAAAACTCTTTGGTTGCTTTTGCAGTATGCTTTGGGTCATTGTCCATCTGCACTGTGAAAGCGGCGTCCAATGAGTTCTGAAGCATTTGCTGAATATGAGCAGATAATATTGCCCGAAACACTTCAGAATTCATCCTGCTGCTTTTGTCAGCAGTCACTTCATCAATAAATACAAGAGAACCAGTTCCTATTGGCAGCCATACATGCCCACGCCATGACACTACCACAACCATGCTTCACTGATGAGGTGGTATGCTTAGGATCATGAGCAGTCCTTTCCTTCTCCATACATCTTCTCTTCCCATCACTCTGGTACAAGTTGATCTTGGTCTCATCTGTCCATAGGATTGGTTGTTCCAGAAACTGTGAAGGCTTTTTTAGATGGTTGTTTGGCAAATATCTAATCTGGCCTTCCTGTTTTTGAGGCTCACCAATGGTTTTACATCCTGTGGTGAACCCCTCTGTATTCACTCTGGTGAAGTCTTCTGTTGATAAATGGTGACTTTGGACACACATACACCTAGGAGTAAGTTCTTGATCTGGAACTGTTGTGAAGGGCAGTTTTTCTCTTCATCAGGGAAAGAATGTCTTCCACCAATGTAATGTAAGCTCACCGGTGCCCATCTTTTTAAGAATGTTCAAACAGTTGTTTTAGCCACTAATGTTTTGTTGTCCCTGTGGTCAGTCTTTTGTAAATGGTCAATTTGTCATACAATTGTGTCAGAATCATTTATGTGTATGACAGCACATGCCCCTGCATGGGTACTCTCATCCATGCAAATTGTCACTAAAGAAGTTAGCAGTAGTAGTTACAGTCAGGTCCATAAATATTGGGACATCGACACAATTCTAACATTTTTGGCTCTATACACCACCACAATGGGATTTGAAATGAAACAAACAAGATGTGCTTTAACTGCAGACTGTCAGCTTTAATTTGAGGGTATTTACATTCAAATCAGGTGAACGGTGTAGGAATTACAACAGTTTGCATATGTGCCTCCCACTTATTAAGGGACCAAAAGTAATGGACAATTGGCTTCTCAGCCGTTCCATGGCCAGGTGTGTGTTATTTCCTCATTATCCCAATTACAATGAGCAGATAAAAGGTCCAGAGTTCATTTCAAGTGTGCTATTTGCATTTGGAATCTGTTGCTGTCAACTCTCAAGATGAGATCCAAAGAGCTGTCACTATCAGTGAAGCAAGCCATCAATAGGCTAAAAAAACAAAACAAACCCATCAGAGAGATAGCAAAAACATTAGGCGTGGCTAAAACAACTGTTTGGAACATTCTTAAAAAGAAGGAACGCACCGGTGAGCTCAGCAACACCAAAAAACCCGGAAGACCACGGAAAACAACTGTGGTGGAAGACCGAAGAATTCTTTCCCTGGTGAAGAAAACACCCTTCACAACAGTTGGCCAGATCAAGAACACTCTCCAGGAGGTAGGTGTATGTGTGTCAAAGTCACCAATCAACAGAAGACTTCACCAGAGTGAATACAGAGGGTTCACCACAGGATGTAAACCATTGGTGAGCCTCAAAAACAGGAAGGCCAGATTAGAGTTTGCCAAACAACATCTAAAAAAGCCTTCACAGTTCTGGAACAACATCCTATGGACAGATGAGACCAAGATCAACTTGTACCAGAGTGATGGGAAGAGAAGAGTATGGAGAAGGAAAGGAACTGCTCATGATCCTAAGCATACCACCTCATCAGTGAAGCATGGTTTGGTAGTGTCATGGCGTGGGCATGTATGGCTGCCAATGGAACTGGTTCTCTTGTATTTATTGATGATGTGACTGCTGACAAAAGCAGCAGGATGAATTCTGAAGTGTTTCGGGCAATATTATCTGCTCATATTCAGCCAAATGCTTCAGAACTCATTGGACGCCGCTTCACAGTGCAGATGGACAATGACCCAAAGCATACTGCAAAAGCAACCAAAGAGTTTTTTAAGGGAAAGAAGTGGAATGTTATGCAATGGCCAAGTCAATCACCTGACCTGAATCCGATTGAGCATGCATTTCACTTGCTGAAGACAAAACTGAAGGGGAAAATGCCCCAAAAAACAAGCAGGAACTGAAGACAGTTGCAGTAGAGGCCTGGCAGAGCATCACCAGGAATGAAACCCAGCGTCTGGTGATGTCTATGCGTTCCACACTTCAGGCTGTAATTGACTGCAAAGGATTTGCAACCAAGTATTAAAAAGTGAAAGTTTGATTTATGATTATTATTCTGTCCCATTACTTTTGGTTCCTTAATAAGTGGGAGGCACATATGCAAACTGTTGTAATTCCTACACCGTTCACCTGATTTGGATGTAAATACCCTCAAATTAAAGCTGACAGTCTGCAGTTAAAGCACATCTTGTTCGTTTCATTTCAAATCCATTGTGGTGGTGTATAGGGCCAAAAATGTTAGAATTGTGTCGATGTCCCAATATTTATGGACCTGACTGTATCTACTGCCAGTGTTCATACTTGAATATGTAGCCTCCTGGATGTCATCCAACAATTGTCTAAAGCCCTGGGGAAAGTAGGCTAAGAAGATCATATAACAGCAGCACCTTCATCAATACAAAACCATGAGCAAGTTTTAGGGCCTATGTTTGGTCAATAGAACACAGAGGTTGCTTGTCCCTTTGCCCTGCCTAGAGGCTTAGCCAAGTGCTTTCAAACACATGGCGATGAAAGGCTGGATCAAGCTGCTTTTAAAGCAAAGCCTTGCTCAGGCTTCAGCAGCTATATATAGAGCAATATTTAGAAAAGTAATTTGGTGAACACTAGATGATAATTTGAAATACAAATGATCTTTGCACATTTATGAATGGGCATGAATTCTAGTCTAAAAAAAAAAAAATATTATTTTAAAATGAGGCACTGTTGAAAAACGCTACCTGCTTTATTTTCTTTTTGTTATAAAGAGGTAGCTATTATGCAGCCCAATGTTAGAACTGACACCCACATATGCACTGCTGATTGAAGCTCAGGTTTCACAGGTATTTGATACAGTAGTTGTTCAGCGGTTCATGTCAGGTTTAGTTAAGGTTCAGGACAGGTTAGGAGCTGATTCACGCATGTGTGGTGCTGATTGAAACTCAGGTTTCACAGCTAATTGATACAGTAGTTGTTCAGCGGTTCATGTCAGGTTTAGTTCAGGTTCAGGACAGGTTAGGAGCTGATTCACACATGTGTGGTGCTGATTGAAACTCAGGTTTCACAGCTAATTGATACAGTAGTTGTTCAGTGGTTTACATCAGATTCAGGACAGAATTAGCTGTCAGGATTATCTTGTTCACACATATGCGGTTTAGAAACAGTTCCCATAGAAGTCAATAGCCTGTAATCCGCACCTGAACCCGACTGCACTGGTCAGAAATCGGACATGACTCTTTTTCAGTCCACACTGAATCTGCACTGCCAGCGCACCGGACATGTGTTAACAGGCACCATAGGAAGCAATGTTATTTTACATGCCATGCAGATTAGATGTGGCTCAAACTGCATCCAATTTGCATATACAGTTAGGTCCATATATATTTGGACACAGCAGAATTTTAGATTTTTTCAGGTATTTACCAAAATATATTCAAGCTATAGTTATATAATGGATATG